GGGAGGCCTGTACAACACAGAGAAGACAAGTAGTGATTCTACAGCATCTTACTACGCTGATGGACAGTGACTGTAATGGGGACTGTCGGGGGGATTTGGTGAAGGGGGAGCCTAGTAAACATAATGTTCTGCATGTAATTTTAGATTAATGATAACAACAATAAAAAGTTGGATGAGTAGTGGTGAAGGCAGAGTTGAGGTTATATGGCATAGCTTTGTGTACTATACTCTGTTTATTAATACTCAGCAGCAGAGCAGAAGCTGCCCCCCAAAACCATAGCCAGTAATGAAAATTTTCTAGGTATGAAGATTAGTATGGTAGTGGGTACTGCAATAGATCAGGGAGACAAGGGATTCTGCTAGTTGTAATTAGGTGTCAATGAAAGGTGACCTTAAGTTTCAAGTTTGGTAAGGAAGTAAAACCAGAGGATTAGGAAAGGCTAAGATACTGAGAGCTGCTTGAAATTAACTATATGAAATTTAACTAAGAAAACTATAAAACGTTGAGTTTTATAAAGTCACGTACTACATAGGCACAGAATGAGACAATATATCTAAAAAGCAGCATGAATGAGACTTACAAATTTGGGTTGACTGTAAAATCCAGGATCAATAGTATGACTCAACTGCATACTTTTCCTCTGCTATAGGGAAAAGAAACTTAATTCTAACTTAAGGTAAATTCTTACAGAGTACATAGAATGAGAATGCCCATGATCCACCTTTGTTTCATGCAAATCAGATTGTGCATAGAATAATATCATTTGTTCTAAATACCACTGACTTTACTAAAACTTTATTGAAGACCTTGATGAACTGCAACAAGTTCAAAGGAGAATGATTATATAGTTCAATGTGTCTCGATTAAATTTTTTTTCAAACTTTTGTGTTATTGAAAACAGCATTGCTCTTACTAATTTACCTTATGATAAGTAGATTTTATAAATTTGAGTTTATAAAACTTTTACCTAAGAAACATTCCTTTATCTCTATATTGGAGAATTATATAAAGATTTCATTTGAAAAGGTGGTTCTTATGCTAAAATTTCTTTGGAAAGCTTTTGTTTAAGGGATTGGACTAGATGAACCCATTAATTTTTCTTCTAGACTTTTAATTACATATATGTATATATATGTACACACATACACCAACACAATCACAATATATATATATATACACACACACAATTGGGTATAATATATAATTGGAGCTATAGATACATGTGTGAGTGTGTGTAAGTGTGTGTGTGTGTGTGTGTGTGTGTGTGTGTGTGTGTAGTATCCAATAGCCAATATTGGTACAGCACAAATGAGTGCAGTGATATGTTGGTTTGAGTCATACATGCATTGTGAATAATTTTATCTTATCTGGCCATAATTTCACAAATTAAAAATATTTTCATCATAAAATTTGTATTTTGGCTCTCAAGTGATATGTATTTATATCCACCTATGATTCTGTCATACCTCTTCACAAAACCTTCAACTGGCTCTCCATCTCATTTAGAATAAAATACAAAGTCCTTACAATAGCTCTGACAGCCTTGCATGATCTGACTCCTGTGTGATCCCCTTCACTCACCCTGGCCTCCTCGATATAACATAGACATACTAACCAAGCTTCAGGGCCTTTGCACATATTGTTCTCTTTACCTCACCTTCCTTTCCCGCAAATAAGCCTATGTCAGGTTTCCTAACTTTACTCACATTTTATTTTCAAATGTCCCTTTATACAAGAGGCCTCCCCTGATCCTCTCTACCCTTTTACTCAGTTCCATTTCCCTCATTAGCAGTTATCAATACCTGAAATATTATTCTGTGTCTGTTTCCCTACTAAAATACTAGGTTCATGAAGGCAGAGCCCTTATCTGTTACGTTCTGTGTTCTACTTAGTAGAAACGCAATAGTTATTTGTTAAATAAATGAACAAATGAATATGGCTTGGTTCTCTGGTGATAAATCACACCAATAGATTTGATATCAAATCAACTACAGTAAAATCTCATGAATTTGAAATAACAGGAGGAAACAAAAATGCTCTTATAAAGATGTCTTAAATCTGAATTACTGAAAAATTTTGTCAATACAGCAATGTGTACATTTAAATTGTTTTTAATAACATTCCACTGTTGGACCTCAAAATACTGCCTTTAAAACTTGTAAGATGAGAGCTGCAGTGTTATTTCTCCCCCTTCCTGACCCATCTGCCTACCAAGAAGAGCCTGTGAGGAAGCCAGATATCTATATCATAAATGTTTGCTTAGTTAAATTTGTATGTAAGGCTCATTGTACCACTGAAAGAATCTACAGATTTAATGCAATCCCTATCAAAATTGCAATGGCATTTTTGAAAGAAATAGAACAAATAATCATGAAATTTGTATGGAACCACAAAAAATTCCCTACTAGCCAAAGCAACCTTGAGAAAAAGAACAAAGCTGGAGGTATCACACTTCCTGATTTCAAACTGTATGGCAAAGCTACAGTAATGAAAACAGTATGGTATTGGCATAAAAATAGACAAATAGGTTGGTGGAACAGAATAGAGAGTCCAGAAATAAGCCCATGTTTATATGGTCAAGTAATTTATGTGACACAGTAGCCAAGAATATACAACAGGGAAAGGATAGTCTCTTCAATAAATCATGTTGAGAAAATTGGACAGGTACATGCAAAAGAATGCAACTGGATCACTATCTCATCCCTTATACAAAAATTAACTAAAAATGGATTAAAGACTTGAACATAAGACCTGAAACCATAAAAATCCTAGAAGAAAACATATGTGGTAAGCTGTATACTTATATTTCAATTAAAATGTTATTTTTGAGACTTAGCAAATCTTAAGTCTTTAATTCTGTCCTGTCTCCTTGTAGGTGTGGCTGTATTGGAAGGTCCCATGTATGCAGTAGGAGGGCATGATGGCTGGAGTTATCTGAATACAGTGGAAAGATGGGACCCTCAGGCTCGCCAGTGGAATTTTGTTGCCACCATGTCCACCCCCAGGAGCACAGTAGGTGTGGCAGTACTAAGTGGAAAGTAAGAAAATATTTAAAGTTCCACTCAAAACACAATAAACTAAATTTATTAAACTATCATGTCCAAGTTAAAAATACACAATAGTACTTTGAGTAATATATACAAACTTTTTTAAATAGTCTCCTTTTATGATAATTCTAAATATAAATAGCTCAACAATAAGTTGAGTTTTCATTCTAATGTGCAGATATTATAAATTTCTACTTATCTTTTGAATAAAGAAATTTTATGTAAATATTCAGTATAATAAAATCTGGTGGTTTATATAAGCTTTAAAAGTATATGACTATATACTTTTCAAGTAGTGACTGTAGCATCTTACTATGCTGATGGACAGTGACTGCAATGGGGTATGTGGGGGGGACTTAATAATATGGGTGAATGTAGTAACCACAATGTTGCTCATGTGAAACCTTCATAAGATTGTATAACAATGATACCTTAATAAAAATATGTATATATCATCTCTTAAAAGTAGTATAATCTCCCTCAGTGTTTCCCTAAATAATTCCTTCCATCTCTTCTACTGACTTTACTTTTACTTGTTTCTTATCTTGGTAAACTGCTGAAAATTGGTATGAATTTAGAAAGAGGTGCTCTCTTGTCTGCTCTAAATAGAATACACAGATTTGGATAGAGCCATTGCCAATAGCTCTTGGTGACTCAAAGACTAAATATTTACCTTCTTCAGACCCTTCTGCCATAACATGAAGGCCTGTATGGTTATTAAATAAAAGTTTTGTTGCATACCTTTATTCAGAATTCTTTCATTTCCAGAAAGAGGAAGAAATCAAGGTTAAAATATAGAGACTTAAAATTATTTGTAGAATTATGTTATTGATTAGTAAGTGAGAAAATATTGGTATTATTTTTATATTTTATAACCTGAGATCTTGTTTCTTCAGGACCTTCTTAGTAACTTCCTACTTTTTGTTATTTTTTTTAGCACCATTACAAGTGACAAGATAAATAGAAACCCACTTTCTTCATACCTTTCCCCTTACTTGTTTTAGCTAAAGAAATAACTTCCAAATTCATTACTACATATCTTTCCTAATTTTTTAATGGAGGAGTCCGCCACCAAAGAATCTAATAAGTGAGAAAAAAGAAAGGAACTGACAGTATCTTTTCAGTTTTGACCCTTTGGTTTAAATTTCTGGGATTTGTTCACTGGACTAATTCTCTTTCAGTGGCATATTTCTTAGCCCTTATTTCTGGCATATTTCTTAGCCCTTATTTCTTTAAAACCTGATTTCCAGACCTGCAGTAACCTTGACATCTAGGCATAGAAATTTTTTACTTCTTACCTTTTCTTCCTCTCTTACAAGAAATAAGTATTTCCATCTTTAACTCATGTAAATTTCCATAAAATACAAGTTATTGAATATAATTATGTGACAACCTCTTATCTACTAAATGTTAAGACATTTGATTTTGCAAATACAGTCTATCTACATTGCAATTGTAACTGGTCTTTTGGGATATCTCCCAAACTGGTCACATGCCCCAAACCTTAACTCTCTGCCTCTCATCCATCTTAGAGACTCACCTAATGTTCCACCTAAAATACAATAGGACCATGTCACTTTCTTCTTAAAACATTTCAGTAGCTTATCTGACCAAGCCTCCTTTGTGATCTTGCCTCTGTCTACCTCTCTGGACTCTTCTCTCTCTTCAACTCATGCATATTACACTCCAACAGAACTAACCTATTTGTGAAGAATACATGTTATTTCACACTCCTATCATCTTTTAACTCATACAATCTCTTAGAATGTTGTCTCCCCCATTTTCCTACCTGGCAAGCTCAGCATTCTTGAAACTTGCTCAAAAATCTCCTTTGGAAAAACTTCCCCAATCCTCACTACTACTGTCTCTTCTTTCCATCTATGCTTGTTGTCCATTACATCCTCAACATTTTTATTGTGCATAATTTGTGTACAACTGTATTGCAGCATGTACCACTCTATTATTGTAGTTATTTACTGGTCCATCTCCTATAGTAGATAATTGTCTTGAGGGATGTAGTCCATCTTTTTGTCCTTTATACCACCTAATGTGGGACCTGGCACCTAACCTGAAGTGTGCAGCCTTATTGAAGAACTTCTTGATACTGCTTAGATGCAGTAGTGCTTTATTACCCCCAGAAGAGGATGTGTTAATCCATCAACCAGCATTTTTCTGAGTTTGCTTTAAAACAAAGTAGCAATAGTTTAAAATAATTTGTTAGTTCCCATTTCTTTTTATATCATTAATGTACAATTACTTAAACAACATTATGGTTACTAGACTCCCCTCCTTATCAAGTCCCCCCGACATACCCCATTATAGTCACTGTCCATCAGTGTAGTAAGATGCTATAGAATCATTACTTGTCTTCTCTGTATATACTGCCTTTCCCACGTCCCCCCTCACTACATTATGTGTGCTAATCATAATGCCCCATTTTCCCCCTTATCCCTCCCTTCCCACCCACCCTCCCCAGTCCCTTTCCCTTTGGTAACTGTTAGTCCATTCTTGGGTTCTGTGAGTCTGCTGCTGTTTTGTTCCTTCAGATTTTTCTTTGTTCTTATACTCCACAGATGAATGAAATCACTTGATACTTGTCTTTCTCTGCCTGGCTTATTTCACTGAGCATAATACCCTCTAGGTCCATCCATGTTGTTGCAAATGATAAGATTTGTTTTCTTCTTCTGGCTGAATAATATTCCATTGTATATATGTACCACATCTTTATCCATTCATCTACTGATGGACACTTAAGTTGCTTCCATTTCTTAGCTATTGTAAATAGTGCTGCGATAAACTAGTTTCCATTTTTAAGTAATGTCCAGAATCTGGAAAAAAATGGAAATTATGTTGTTAAAAAAAAGTATGCAATTGATTGAAAAAAATTAATCATGCATCTTCTCATCTTCTCTCTACCACTCCTTTGTGATTTAAAACATCATTTATCTGTGCCTTGGATTTTTTATCAATAAAATGAGAAGCCCAGACTAACTTCTCTTTTCATTATTTTAACTCATTTTACAATGCTTCCTGAAGCAAAATATAGTTGTTTCTGTAGGGAAGAACTGTTTCAATATTTTATGAATTATATTCTGTATCTTAAAAATTTCCAAGTGTTAAAATTTTTCTTTTGATCAAATTTGACAGAAGTTTTATTTAGACTTCCAACTGCTCAGGCTACTTTTAGGCCACTGCCTGGCAAATATTTTTGGCTGTAGAATCTCTTTTTTAAATGAAATCTTATGAAAACCTGAATACTTAAGGCAAATACTGCTGCATGTTTTTATTATAAACTTATTTTAAATGTATTAAAAGTTCTAGTTCATAATATATACTTACTATAAAAATTGATATAGTGGAATAAATTTGTTTTGAAGAACACCCAGTTTATTTCTATGTTTTATTTTGGTTCAATATAAAGAAAATCCATGATTAACAGATTAGAAGCTGAAAATGGAAACAATTATTTTAACTTACTAGAACAATTTAATCAGAATATTAGGAAACTCTTCAGTTAAATTGTTGATGTAATTTGAAACTGATGACTTTTTCTTTCTAAGTTGAATCTCAAATAGTGTCTACCAACTACTTGCATTCTTGATTATAATTTTAAAAGTCAAGCAAGACCTAAATCTTAATTTTAAAATATATAGTACAATACTATCACAATTTGATGTAATATTTCTCTTTTTATTGTAATAGATACTGTCATGGGGAAGAAAGACAACTTCTGAATCTAGTATGGCATTTAATTGAGCCAGGTGGCATTTTTGAAAATTATTAAAATTTGAATTTCAAATGCACCATTTTTGGAATTCCTTCAAGTTCTCCCCCAAATCCTATTCTTAGAACACAGTTTGAAAACTGTTGCTTGAGATAATGATTCTTCAGAAGGTGTTACCAGTACATCTTGGCTCTTAATATTAGCTTAGTATATAAACATTGTTTGTACACTTAAGATGTCCTAAAAATGGCATTTTCTAAAAGAATATAAATAGAAACAATTCATTTTTTCCCTTAAACACATACATGATGCTTACCATGTGTGAGGCACTGTTCAAGTACTTTAAATTTGATCATCAGTAATCCTGTGAGGTGGGGCTTATGGATTTTATTATAATGAAATTCCAGCAGGTAGCAGTTAAAAACTTGGCCACAAGTGGAAACAGCATTCATATCCAGAGAGTCTGGCTCTCCAGAGTTCATGTCCTTAATCCCTATACTACACCACTTTTCACAGTTAAGACCCTTAAGTTCACTGTGAAGAGATAGGGTACCTTGAAGCCTATTTTGTGTGTTTGTGTTTGTGTGTGTGTGTGCACATGCTTTTTTAATATTGATAATCTCCAATTGTTGATGCCTTCTAATATCCTGTAATTCATATTCAGGTAATTATTCTACCAAGTATTAGTTAAAGATGCTAACAATTTAATATTAAGAACCATAACACAAAAAAGTAGTCTTTAATTAACAAAAAATTTTAACAGATTGAAGTTTCAAATAAATTTCAATTTTCATACTATTATTGTAGTTTAACTTTAGAACAAATTACTATCACAACCATATGTTGCAATTTAAGATACAGTCATCTTCTCATTAAGAACCAGTCTGAGTGGCATAGAGCACTTTAAATTATGAATTTAAATAAATAAATCTGTCTTTAAAATATGTATATCTACCAAATACAAAGACTGAGAGTTTTAATGAGCAGAAATTTGGGATAGTTCAAATAGTATTTATTGAGATTAAAAAACTATTTAAATATTAACTAAGGCATCCATAAATTCAAAATGTGTCACCTCACACCACTTAGAATGGCCACTATCCAAAAGACAAGAAATAATAAGTGTGTTGGCAAGGATGTGGGGAAAAGGGAACCCGCATTACTATTGGTGGAAATGTAAATCACTGCAGCTCCTAAAGAAAGCAGTGTGGAGATGCCTCTAAAACCTGAAAATAGAAATACCATATGACTCAGTAATTTTACTTCTAGGAATTTACCTGAAGAAAACAAAATCCATGATTTGAAAAAATATATGCACACCTATGTTTATCACCACATTATTTACAATGGCCAGGGTATGACAGCAACCAAAGTGTCCCATCAGTAGATGAATGGATAAAGAAGATGTGCTACATATACACAATGAAATACTATTCAGCAATAAAAAAGAAATCCGCCGTTTGCAAACACATGGATGGACATAGAGGGTATTGTGCTACGTGAAAGAAGCCAGGTGGAGAAAGACAAATACCATATGATATCATTTATGGAATATGAAAATATAACAAAACAAAATGGCAGTAGACTCATTGACACTGTTCCATGATTTGAAAAAATATATGCACACCTATGTTTATCACCACATTATTTACAATGGCCAGGGTATGACAGCAACCAAAGTGTCCCATCAGTAGATGAATGGATAAAGAAGATGTGCTACATATACACAATGAAATACTATTCAGCAATAAAAAAAGAAATCCGCCGTTTGCAAACACATGGATGGACATAGAGGGTATTGTGCTACGTGAAAGAAGCCAGGTGGAGAAAGACAAATACCATATGATATCATTTATGGAATATGAAAATATAACAAAACAAAATGGCAGTAGACTCATTGACACTGAGAAGTGGTGGTTTACATGGGGGACGAGTTAGAGTGGGTGGGGTGGCGGGTGAGGGGGATAAAGGGGCATAAAAATTCTCAGTCATAGTGTAAGTTGGTCACAGGGATGTTAATACAGCATGGAGAATATAGCTAGTGGTTCTGTTACATCTTCCAATGTTGATGGATAGTAACTGCTAGTGGAGATGAGGATTTAATAATATGGGTAAGTGCTGAACCACTGTGTTGTAGACTTGAAACCAGTGTAAAATTGTATACCAATGGTATTTCAATTTTGAAAAATTCAAAATGTGAAACCTTTTGTACGACAAACTACTCTTTAAAAAAAAAAAGAAAGTAAAATATCAATTAAGAGTTTCCCAAGTGAATAGTCAGTGCAAGATTCTGTGTTTTGTAACAAAGGTTCAAATATTTAAAATGCTTTATATATATCTTAAGTTCAGAGTAAAAAAACTTTTAGTGCAGTACATTGATAATGAATTAAAATGGATCTACTAGGCAACATATAGGAGATTAACATGCCATATTTATTTTAAATAATTACAGTATCCTTTTTCTGCAGCAATTTAATGATCACTAGTTATATATAATAAATATTAATTTATATACCATTGTTTCGAGCTATCCCTTTATTCTCCTATTTACTATTACAAGTACATCCCAGATGTCTTCTTACAGCATTTGATTGAATTTAAGGTGCCATCAATTATGAGACATTATCAATTTATGTGCCATTAAGAAAGATATGCTACCAATTCGCCATCTAATTGGTAGCATATCTTTCTTAATGGCACATGATATGCCATCTAATTGGTAGCTGTCTTTCTTAATGGCACATAAATTGACAGTGTCTCATAATTGATGGCACCTTAAATTCAATCAAACACCATAATACCAGATACCACTCTGTGCATACGTAAAAAAAGAAAAACATCATATTACTGCCTACTTAAAGTTGTTGATGGTACAACTGCTCATTAATATAACTTTGTGTCCTGGTTCTGCTTCTGATCCCATTCAAGGCTTTTAATCCCCATGAGCCTTTTTCTTCACCTGTGAAATAGGAGTGTGAATGGTTTCCTGTAACATCATTGTGGTGATTAAATTAATACAGGTTAGATGCCTAGCCTGTGGTAGGTGTTCAGAGAAGGTTAAGTTCTTTCCTTCATAACCAAGTCTTACCTTAGCCATTCAGGAAGTAAGTCATAGTATATTATTTATACAGCATGTTTTATCCTAAGACACATTTTAACATCTTTAAAATTGTGATACATTATAATAAATGGTGACTTGTCAAACAGATGGCAGCTGTGAAATAGTTGTCATTTCTTTCATGTGAGTTTTTCTTTTTTATGTATGCACAGAGTGGTATCTGATATGACATATATATGACATATACATGTGCCATATAATTGGTAGCATATCTTTCTTAGTGACACATAAATTGACATGTCTCATAATTAGTGGCACGTTAAATTCAATCAAACACCATAAGAATAACCTCTTTGTCTTAATCATAATAATAGCATTATTTCATATTGATAATTCTATTTTTTCTCTTTTACAGACTTTATGCAGTTGGCGGTCGTGATGGAAGTTCTTGCCTCAAATCGGTAGAGTGTTTTGATCCTCATACTAACAAATGGACACTCTGTGCACAAATGTCAAAAAGGAGAGGGGGAGTAGGAGTAACTACCTGGAATGGATTGCTGTACGCTATTGGAGGACATGATGTTCCTGCATCCAACTTGACTTCCAGACTCTCAGACTGTGTGGAGAGGTAAGTTCCTGTGAAGAAAAACTAGGAATAAATATGTATGCATGTATATATATATTATACATAAGCCTCTGACATTTCCAGATAAACTGACTCTTTACTGAGCATCCACCACATGAAAGGTGGTTCCTTGGGAGCTTGGTAAACATTGGGTTATCTGCTCTAGCCATCTCTTGGTCTCCTAACAGCTACTCAGATTCTTCTCTCATCATATTAGTGCCTTCTTAAACTCTACCTTAGAATTGATTATATAATTTATTCATTGAATCATATGACAGACTTTCACTGTGTGCCTATTTTGTGCTGGACTCTGTACTTAGTAAAAAAAAGAGCTTGATGAATTTCAAAGAGAATAAATTGGGAGTGGAGGCTACATACGAAATTAAAAGGAAGGGACATTTCTAACATACTTTGATATGTGTTATATGAAATAATATGAAATAATAAAAGACCAATAAGGCTTAAAAGGTTAAACAAGTCATTCAAACTGGCCCCATGAAACTCAAGTATGGGGCCAGGTGTATATGAGTGTATGTGCCTGTGTATATGCCACATTTCTTTATCCAATGTCATTTTCTTTATCCACTGTCAGTGGATACTTGGCTTGTTTCCATGGCTTGGCTATTATAAATAATATTGTAGTTATCATGGAGGTGCATTTTCATTTTGAAATAGTGCTTTCATTTCATTTGCATTAGGGAGCCTCCATACTGTTTTCCACAGTGGATGTACCAGTTTACATTCTCACTAACAGTGCACAAGGGTTCCCTTTTCTCCACATCCTAATCAATACTTGTTACTTCTCATCTTTTTGGTAATAACCGTTCTGACAGGTGTGAGGTGATAGCTTATTGTGGTTTTGATTTACATTTCCCTGATCATTAGTGATGTTAAGCTTCTCTTCATGCAACTTTTGGCCATCTGTCTATATTCTTTGGAAAAATGTCAATGCTCTGCCCATTTTTTAATAAGATTGTTTTTTGTTACTGAGTTGTATGATTATTTATATATTATAGATATTAGCCTCTTATTAGATATATGATTGGCAAATAATTTCTCCCAATAAGTTGCCTTTTCATATTATTGATGGTTTCTTTTGCAATGCAGAAGCTTTTTAGTTTCATATAATCCCGATTGTCTATTTTTACTTTTGTTTCCTTTGGATTTGGTGTCAAATCCATCCCCCAAAAATCATCACCAAGGCAATGTCAAGGTATTCTTGACATTGTATCTAGAAGTTTTATGTATCAGGTACCATATACGGTATGGAATCATGTAGGTCTTTAATCCATAAACAGTTCTTCTGTAAAATACTTTGAGGACAATGTCAGGTTCACTTTTGAAATTTTCTTTCAGATATGATCCCAAAACAGATATGTGGACTGCAGTGGCATCTATGAGCATCAGCAGAGATGCAGTGGGAGTCTGTTTACTTGGTGATAAATTATATGCTGTTGGAGGGTATGATGGACAGACTTATCTTAACACAGTGGAGGCTTATGATCCCCAGAAAAATGAGTGGACCCAGGTATGACATTTCATTTTTCATTATTACACTGCTTTTAGTGAAAGCAATTCTTTTGGCAAAACAAATCCTCTCACTCTTGTCCATTATCAAATAATATAACATAAACATGGTAAAGTCATCTCTTGATTAACTGTAAGAAAACAAAAGGGGAATGTTTAATTTTATAACATAATTAAAACCCCAAATTACCTTTAAGTGTAAATTAAGAGAAATTATTGTTGGTTGATCTGCTACCATTTGCTTCCTGGATATTGATGAGATGTTCTAGCATTGAAAGAGCTGATAGGACCACTGGAGTGCTTAAAGCAGAGGGAGGAGAGATGTGGAAAGTAAGAAACAAATATAATAGAAAAATTTGAACTACTTACCCATACATGAGTAATAATGCTTAAATCCTCAAGCCACTGATACTTGGGAGCAGCTCAAATGTCTCATCCCAACTAATAAAGATGGCAATCCTCAATTACATTAATAAGTAAGAAACTTGACTTGGCAAGCTTATTAACAGATGGAATTCCAGCTGTGTCTGTTTCTGAGCAGGCCTAGCACTTCTAAGAATGATCTTTTGAGATCCTTTTTTCCATCATCACCAAAAACAGAATTAGGAATTCTGTGTCCCAGTTTAGTATCTGGTACATAAAATACACTGAAATGTTTAACTGAGCCAAGGTTTTCCTACATACAAGGAGCAATGGTAAGTACTGTCAAGAAAATTAATGACAGCCTCTGCTGACAGAGAACTTAGCTACATAGGTGGGTAAGATCTGCACGTATAAGAGAAGGACCCTCACTGTGTAGCAGTGGGTACGAAGTGTCCCATGGTCTAGGCATTGAATGGTATAGGAAATCAAGGAGAAAAAATAAAATGGTGTTGAAAGGGCATCCTTGAGAAAGAAGTGGGACTTAAGCTAAGCCTTAATGAATTGATCCTATTCAAAAGGTAGAGATGAAGGGGAAATTGTATGAGAAAGAATATGCAAGTGCCTGGTTATGAGGAACCATGCTTGAGAAGAGCAATTCTTACTGGAGAGGAAGATGGGTCAGAATGAAGGTTGGTGAAGGTCAAGTTTAAAGCGTTTAGTTATGAGAAGCCAGTGGAGACTTTTAACCAAGGGAGTGATACAGTAATAGAGAGTTCATGTGGCAGCAACTGGGGACAGAATAAGTTGGGTTAGGGGCAGAGGAGTGAAGGCTGGATAAAAGGAAAATATTTAGAAGGTTGCTTCAATTGTAAGGCTTGAGGTGTTAAATATATAGATGGATTTTGAGAGATTGCCAAGTCTTCTCTATTCTTTTTTCATTTACTGGGTTGGATTGATAGGTATAGCTTCTGGGGAAAACAGCAAAGGAATGATCAGAGTGTCTTAGAAGGTAATAGAGCATTTAAAGAAAGAAGTGAGGGTTTCAAGAGCTTAAGGAAGAATGAAGATAATTTGTCCTTCATGAAATTCTAAGGACCTTCGAGAATGTGATAGAAGCAGAAAACCGTACAGTGTGAAAAGTAAAGAGAAGAATAAAATAAAAGTAAATGTGGAAGCTAGAGAGGCATACAATTTTAAAATAATGATGCTATGGAAGGTCGACATTTATTAAGCACATTTAATGTACCAGATTTGGTTCTAAGCAGTTTATGTTAAAAGAATTTATTTAATCCTCCCTGCAAGGTAAGTACTAAACAACCCTGCAGCATAAGTACTAATATTTCCCTACTATATCGGATGAGGAATCTGAAACAGAGAGAGGTTATATAGCTGACACAAAGTCACATAGTAAATAAATGGTGGAGTTAGAATTGGAGCCAAACATCTTTTTCACAAAAGAGACAAAAAAGAATAGAGATCCCACATGATAGCGAGAGCAACATTGAAGGGTACGTTCCCGAAAGAAGGGCAGGAAACAGAATTGAGAGCAAAGACTGGTCCTCCTCAACTGGAGGAAAGATCATATCTATCCTCCAGGGCTGAAGGAAAAGATGAGAATATGAGCATAGAAATGTTGCTCAGCAGCTCTGTCCAGCTGGGGAGTCCTCTCTCTGCACACTAGGTGAAATTTCAACCTGGATAGGGGAGGGTTTTTGACTCTCGATGAGAAAGACTTCTCGAACAGGTCGGACAGGTAAGGAAGGAATTCATTAAAGTGAGACAGCAGGGAATGACAGCTGCTTTACAGGTAGCAGAGAGCAAAGAAGAACAGAAGGAGGAAAGGGAAGCTCATTGAACTCCTGCTCATCACTGGGCAGATCCCTTGCCAACTCCTAAAGCCAGGGTTACATAGCCTCCAGTGTCTGCTTGAATCTGCACAGTGTAGGAACTAAGTCCCTACCACCCCAGGATTTGGGGGAGCTGCGGAGCACTTGATGGAGTGAGTTTATGTTATGAGAACTTCCCGAAGGCAAAGAAAGGAGATTTTCAGGCAGGCCACTAATGAGCATCATTGTACAGTCACAGTCCTGCCCAGGTCACCCAGGTAATGCAAACTTGCAAGCCCAAATCAGAACTCTTAGTTTAGTAGCCTCTCCCTACTTATCTGGAGTAGAACAGAGACAAAATGAAGACTTGTGCTTAAGTCTGAAAAACAGAATGAAATAGCAAAGTGACAGATGCCACTGGAAGGAGCACAGAGACAAAACATAATTAAGTTGAGCAGTGAGAAGGCTTTATTTAAAAAGTATACTCAAAGAAAAGGGAGTACCGGCAGCCTCAGAGAGGAAGCACCCTTAAGCACTTGGGATTCTGTCTTTTAAGGCTTTCAAGAATGGGGTGAAGTGGCACAGGGGGATGTTGTAGGCTTGACATGTGGTGTCATGGTATCTCTCTACAGTGACACACTTTATGTCACCATCCAGTCAGTCGTCTAGATAATTTTGTAAGGTAAACTTAACACAAGGAATTTTTTTATCCTGTTCTTCTCAAGGTATTGGGTATCCTCAAACAGTGGGGACAATCAGTTAGGACTGCTTGCCCTGCCTTAAGATACTTTGTTGGCTGATTACCAAAGAATATGTTAGGAATCTTACCTCCTAACTCCCTGGTTTTTAAAATGGAATCTTAATCTTAGGATGGAGTCCCTCCTGTTCTTACTATACTGTTTATATCTCAGCATTTTTAATCAAAGGTAGGAAAAATTAATCATGATGCTTGTCCCTTGTCTCTGCTGTACCTCAGAAAGGTACAGAGAGTTTTTAATTGGAGAATCGAAAAAGGGACTTAGTGTGTGAACTTGATCTTGTTCTTAAGTAGATGAAATTACTTGTTAGAGGGAATGGGGATAATGTGAGGGCTTGAGACTATAGGATTTCAATACAAATTATGTGATTACCTACCATGGCAAATGTGGTTGTGAATGATAAGCAAAGAATCCAAAAAGAGAAAAGAATCTCTTTTTTTTTGAGATGTATTTGATTTAAGTTCTTAGGCCAGTTATAAAGAAATATATTGACTACTATTCAAGAATCACTGTTACTAGTAATTAATACTTTATGCTGAATCACTCTGTATCAAAATAAATAATCTGTGACCCATAACTATTTTGTTTGCATGCTACCTCTATTACTATTTTAAAGCAACTAAACGTAAACTATAGTATTTGAAAAATGAATGTTGGAATTCCATCAGTGTTTCAACAAATGGACTCCAAGAGGACATTTGTACAGGGAATGAAATGAGATTATAAAGTCTGAAACCAACACTGACCCCACTACCAGCCTTGACCCAAAGCAGGAGGTGACTGCATCATTCAGTAAATTCTCTCAACTAAATTTCCTAGCTGGCTGTCATGGCAACATCAATTATTCACAGTGTAGAGACGTCATGTCATGGGTGTTTTGAGAAAAGCTGCTAATTACAAACAGACGTTTTTATTTAAATGTTCAAGGTTACTCCTTGAATACTGTGAGTTGATAAAGTTTTAAAATGGGTAATTTGTTTGTTCAAAGAACTATAACAGTAATCAAAGCAGCTGACTCAGATGGAGAACAGCTGAGCCTTCTCTTACAACTAAAGTCTGGCACGCTCTTAAAATCCTCTCATAGTGAGGGTAAATCAAACTTAGGCGTCATTGGGATATCACATAATTGACAAAAAAACTATCATATACCCCCACGTACATAAGGCAAAGTATACATTCTTAGTACTTGGTATTGTCACCTCTCCCCCAAGTACTAATGTTTCAGTTCTGTCAAATGCATAGATTCTTACTGTGTTCACAGGAGTCCTTAAAAAACTGTCCTTGTCCACACTGTTACTTCCGCTATGAATTGCCCACTGTCTTGAGTACTTCAAAAAAAAAAGACAAGTGAAAGATTTAAGAATTGCTCCTTACCCAAAAATTAAGATTATATTCCTTCCCTCGCACCCTGCACTAGCTCACTGTCATGGGTCTACTCACCAGGTTTGTTTACAATTCTAGAGGGTTGGATAAGTAGTATTTGTCATTTATTTACCTTGCTAAAAAGTAGTAGAATGGGTTTAGATGCACAGAGAAGGCAGTTAATAAATGGGAGGTACTGGTGTCCCTGGAATAAGTAGATCCCAGGTGTGCAGTGGATTTTGTATACTCTCCCTGAGACAGCACATCTGTTACAGGGACAATACTTGACATTTTCTCCATATTGGTCACAGAGTTACATGTTATGTTCAGCATTTCCTCATATCTATATTATGAATCATGATGGCCAAAATAAAGTGTTTCATGCAGAATAATTCCTGAGCTATGTTTTAAAGTCACCTTTAAAGAGAAGTTAATACTACATAACCATGATATACCAAAACAATCTAGTCTATGAAAACTTTGACATCAGGAAATGGGGTCATGGGGAAGGGATCAGGCCAGCCATAGGGCTGAGGCAGCAGTTCTTCGGCAACCGACTATAATTATTTCACCAACTGGTGTAGGATTATCAATATTTTTACCTACAAACTCAACATATATGCCTTTTTATTTCTTTTTAGGTTGCTCCACTGTGCCTAGGAAGAGCTGGGGCTTGTGTTGTGACTGTAAAATTATAATGTAGTGTTTTGTTTTCTAAATGAAGATATCTACCTTTATGAATTTAGTACAGTCATTCTACTAGCAATGAATACATTTTTAGTAAATTTGCAGTGCCACATTCCTGGGCACAAAGTGCCTGATCTCAAAGTGAAGATGTTAAAACAAAGGAAAAAAGAATGGATGAACCAGGACTAAATACGACATTTCTTAGAAAATCAAAACTACAGCCGGTGAATCGTGAATATGTTCCTGACAAAATACAAGGACAAATACACTGCTTCTAACCATAACTCAGTGTTAACTGGGAATTTCATTTAATAATAGTCACTTTTACTCACATTTGCCAGATTTCTTTTATTATAATGCAAACATACCAGATATGAATTCCATCAGTGTTTCAACAAATGGACTCCAAGAGGACATTTGTACAGGGAATGAAATGAGATTATGAAGTCTGAAACCAACACTGACCCCACTACCAGCCTTGACCCAAAGCAGGAGGTGACTGCATCATTCAGTAAATTCTCTCAACTAAATTTCCTAGCTGGCTGCCATGGCAACATCAATTATTCACAGTGTAGAAACGTCATGTCATGGGTGTTTTGAGAAAAGCTGCTAATTACAAACAGACGTTTTTATTTAAATGTTCAAGGTTACTCCTTGAATACTGTGAGTTGATAAAGTTTTAAAATGGGTAATTTGTTTGTTCAAAGAACTATAACAGTAATCAAAGCAGCTGACTCAGATGGAGAACAGCTGAGCCTTCTCTTACAACTAAAGTCTGGCACGCTCTTAAAATCCTCTCATAGTGAGGGTAAATCAAACTTAGGCGTCATTGGGATATCACATAATTGACAAAAAAACTATCATATACCCCCACGTACATAAGGCAAAGTATACATTCTTAGTACTTGGTATTGTCACCTCTCCCCCAAGTACTAATGTTTCAGTTCTGTCAAATGCATAGATTCTTACTGTGTTCACAGGAGTCCTTAAAAAACTGTCCTTGTCCACACTGTTACTTCCGCTATGAATTGCCCACTGTCTTGAGTACTTCAAAAAAAAAAGACAAGTGAAAGATTTAAGAATTGCTCCTTACCCAAAAATTAAGATTATATTCCTTCCCTCGCACCCTGCACTAGCTCACTGTCATGGGTCTACTCACCAGGTTTGTTTACAATTCTAGAGGGTTGGATAAGTAGTATTTGTCATTTATTTACCTTGCTAAAAAGTAGTAGAATGGGTTTAGATGCACAGAGAAGGCAGTTAATAAATGGGAGGTACTGGTGTCCCTGGAATAAGTAGATCCCAGGTGTGCAGTGGATTTTGTATACTCTCCCTGAGACAGCACATCTGTTACAGGGACAATACTTGACATTTTCTCCATATTGGTCACAGAGTTACATGTTATGTTCAGCATTTCCTCATATCTATATTATGAATCATGATGACCAAAATAAAGTGTTTCATGCAGAATAATTCCTGAGCTATGTTTTAAAGTCACCTTTAAAGAGAAGTTAATACTACATAACCATGATATACCAAAACAATCTAGTCTATGAAAACTTTGACATCAGGAAATGGGGTCATGGGGAAGGGATCAGGCCAGCCATAGGGCTGAGGCAGCAGTTCTTCGACAACCGACTATAATTATTTCACCAACTGGTGTAGGATTATCAATATTTTTACCTACAAACTCAACATATATGCCTTTTTATTTCTTTTTAGGTTGCTCCACTGTGCCTAGGAAGAGCTGGGGCTTGTGTTGTGACTGTAAAATTATAATGTAGTGTTTTGTTTTCTAAATGAAGATATCTACCTTTATGAATTTAGTACAGTCATTCTACTAGCAATGAATACATTTTTAGTAAATTTGCAGTGCCACATTCCTGGGCACAAAGTGCCTGATCTCAAAGTGAAGATGTTAAAACAAAGGAAAAAAGAATGGATGAACCAGGACTAAATACGACATTTCTTAGAAAATCAAAACTACAGCCGGTGAATCGTGAATATGTTCCTGACAAAATACAAGGACAAATACACTGCTTCTAACCATAACTCAGTGTTAACTGGGAATTTCATTTAATAATAGTCACTTTTACTCACATTTGCCAGATTTCTTTTATTATAATGCAAACATACCAGATAAAAATTTTAGTATTTTGCTTTGTAACTTTATCATACATGAGTTGCAGTAATTTTTATTCATTTGTTTGTTTAATCATAACCACTATGTTAATGATATATTAAAGACTATGCTATTTAGTTTTTTCAGAAATAGCTGCATTATATGTGCTTTGGTTGCCAATTTTATTTCTAAAATTGACTTAGTCTTAATGACTAAAGAAAAACATTAAAGAGTTAAAACAATGACTGAAAAAATGGTATGATCTTTGGGGTCTACTTAAATATTTATCTGTTAGATGTAGATTGACTAAGAACTACATGTTATGATAGTCTCAAATTGGAAATGAAACATGGTTTAAGATATGCAAATTTATGTAGAGAAAATAAATGTTATATACCCTATAATATTCTTTCATCTAACTAGTATTTAATTATATGGGTTTGTTTTCTTTTGTATTATAAAAGATGTTTTGATTTTGTCTTGATATGGACAAAACTGTTCAGATAGTCTTATGTTCTCAAGTCTATGTATGCCTCCCTTGCCTTGTTTTCTTAAGTTTTGGCAGTTAGTAACCCTTAGTGCTTCTTTGTGATCAAACATTTTGGGGGAATTGTGTTTGAAAAATAAGTTTAAACTGTTTATTACCCAAGGTTTTGTACATTTGTAAACTCTAATTACATATGTGAATGTTAATAGACTCAGTGAATTGCTTATTGTTTGCAAAAATGCACTGAGCAGTAACATTTTATGGTAAATCCTTTAAGGTATAAGTCATTAACTTACAGCTTAATATAAAGTGAGTGTAAACTAAATTACAATCTTTTAAAATACAGTGTTGTGGTTAATGTGTTTTTCTATTTCATATCAAGGTAGACTTGATAGTTGTTTTTTAAAAATTAAAACAAACTTTTTTTTTTTGACCTGATTTTGAATGTTCATGAAATGTTTCTACCTTGGAACCCAAGAAATGGAGTATTTCTGTTCATAGAACAAATCTTCTTTCTGGTCATTTTACTGGTGTGGCTGCTAGGAAAATAATACTGATAGTAACAAACACAGTAATATTTCATACATTATGGGTATGAATTCGATTACATTTGACCCTTGAATAACACTGGGGTTGGGGAACCAACTCATACAGTTGAAAATCTGCATGTAACTTTTGACTCCCCAAAAACTCAGCTAATAGCCTGCTGCTGGTCAGAGCCTTACCAATTAACACATATTTTGTGCATTTTATGTACTACATATGGTATTCTTACAATAAAGTAAACTAGAGAGAAGAAAATGTTTTTTTAAATTGTTGAAAATCTCCAAAGTTTTTCCATTTGTTGAAAAAATTGCATGTATAAGTAGACCCTCCCAGTTCAAACCCTGTTTGTTCAAGAGTCAACTGTATTTTTCTGACAAGGGGGGATCAGCTGTAGAGTATATATAGTTAGAGGAAGGGAGAAAAAAGAGGAAGACATATAACAAATAAAACAAAAATTTCAAAAGCAGGAATGTGTCCATAGACCATCACCTTCTAGTGAAAGCTTAGAACTGTGACTTGAAAGGAAGTACTTAAAACTTGCGATCATTCCTCTGAACACTCATCATCCACTCTCTGATTCCCTGTGGCCCACAGTGGAGACCAGATACATGATAAAGTCAAGAAACTGATTCTTCTGAGGACCTTCTTTTCCTTATGGGATTCCCTAGAATAACAGTCCCTTTGATTTTATACCCTCATAAAGGGCCTCTCTAGTGCAGTTTTGTAGACAATAGGACCTGCTTTCCTGGGTACTACTAGTAAAGATAACCATTTCTTTTCCAGTGACAGAACACTCACCAAAACATTCATTCCTCTCCTTTTCTGGGCTCCTATAAATCTAGAGGAAAATATGGCTCTACCTTATATCCATCAAACAACATCACTGCCTTGACTTTTACTATTAGCCTGTCAGTTGAATTTTAGGATCAGCTTTTTCATTTAGGCTGTACTGGATTGCAAGGGACCCAAAGAGCCAAAATAATTTTATGAAAGAAGAAGAAAGTTGAAAGACATTTCCTGATTTCAGAATGTATTACAAAGCTACAGTAATCAAAAAGTGTGGTACTGATGTAAGGATAAACATATAGACCCAATAGCGTAAAATGGAAAGTCCAGAAATAAAATATGGATAATACACTATGGTCAATTGATTTTCAACAAGGGTGCCAAGACTATTCAATGGAGAAACAGTCTCTTCAACAAATGGTGCTGTAATAATTAGATATTCATGCACAAAAGAAAAAAGACCCTTACTTTACAACATATGTAAATATTAATTCAAAATAAATCAAAGACCAAAACATAAAAGCTAAAACCGTAAAACTCTGAGAAGAAAACATAGGGATAAATGTTCACATCCTTGGATTTGGCAATGGTTTTTTAGATATGACACCAAAAGTGCAAGAACAAAAGATAAATTAGAATTCATCAAAATTAAGTTTCTGTGCATCAGAGGACACTATCAAAGTGAAAAGACAATCTGCAGGATGAGAAGATACTTGCAAATCATCTATGAGTCTACCCAGAATATGTAAGGAACTCCTACATTCAACAACAAAAAGACAACCCAATTTATAAATGATCAATAGACATTTGTCCAGTAAAAGATACATAAATAGCCACAAGCCCATAAATAGATGCTCAATATCATTAATAATTAGGGAAATGCAAATCAAAACCACAATAAAATTTGAGTGACTTAATTCTTTTTTTATCGAAGTATCATTGATATACAATCTTTTTTTCAATTAAGGTATCATTGATAAACAATCTTTAGAAGGTTTCACATGAGCAACTTTGTGGTTTCAACATTCACCCATATTATCCAGTCCCCCCACAACCCCATTGCAATCACTGTCCATCAGCATAGTAAGATGCTGTAGAGTCATTACTTGTCTTGATGCTATACTGACTTCCCTATTACCTACGTATGTTGTGAGTGCTAATTATAATGTCCCTTAATCCCCTTGTCCCTCCCTAGCCATCCTTCCTCCCCAACTTCTTCCCTTAGGTACCCACTAGTCCCTTCTTGGAGTCTGTAAGTCTGCTGCTATTTAGTTCCTTCAGTTTTGTTTTGTTGTTTTACTCCACAGATGACTGAAATCATTTGGTACTTACCTTTCTGCACCTGGCTTATTTCACTGAGCATAATACCCTCTAGCTCCATCCATGTTGTTGCAAATGGGAGGATTTGTTTTCTTCTTATGGC